TGTGTTACAATATCTTCAATCCTCTCAAGCAATTCTTTTGAGAATAATTGGAAGTAAATCTGATCTTCCTCTCAGAGACATCCTGGAATATAACTCAAACTTTAGTTCATATGCAACCAAATTGGAGCTTGTAACTCAGTGGTATACAGTAAAAAGATCTGAAGATATACAAAACAATTGGTACCCTCACTCAAACATAAGGTTCCTATTTTGCATACTCAGTGGTACTCTGGAAAAGTAAGATCTAAAATAATTGGTACTTTCACTATGACCCTCACCTCTTTCTCAAAGAAGCCGGAAAGATCTAGGCATGAAGACATTCCAATTAGCTGAAATGCATTGATGAGCGTGGGTGACTCTGGATCCTTTTCTGCTGCTTCGGATGGCTACAACAAACCCATCAATTTAAGCACAAAATATCCGATTTACACACGAGCGACATAAACAACAAAAGGGTATCCAAGTCTGTACCATCTCACGTATTGACAAGACTTCTTCGTCTATACATATATCTTCTTCATAATCATCAGCATTTGCAGGAATATAGTCTTGTTTGAACCATTCATCTGCTTTGATATCTGCCATTGCTATCCGAGTATGAGGGTTGGGATCAAGAATCCTCTTTATTAGGTTTCGTGCTCCTGGGGACAGCCATTTGGGTATCTGAGCATCCCCCTTGAAAATCTGAATTCCCTCACAAAGATAAAGATTGAGACCTCATGAGTTTCGAATTACAAACATCTTTCATTAGAGGCCTAAGCAAATGGAAAACATAGAAAAAAAATTTCCTATACCTTCTGATAGAGCACTGCAAGATTTCTATCATCGAATGGTAGATATCCTGTGAGAATCACATACAAGATGACACCACAAGACCACGTATCTGAAGTGGCACCATCATATCCTCTGTTAGAGAGAATCTCAGGTGCAACATAGTTGGGACTTCCACAGGTAGTATGCAGTAACCCGTCAGCCTAATTTCATCACAGAAATGAGTGTCTAAGAGAATTAAAAAAAAATGCCAAAGAGGGTTGGTAATTTAGCTGACATACCCTAAAATGTTCGGGCAACGCACTGAGTCCAAAATCAGATATCTTTATGTTTCCTTTTGCATCAACCAGAACGTTCTCTAGCTGAGTTTGAAAACAGAAGCATTTTAGGAGAATGGAAGTCAAAAAGTTTTTGTTAAGTATATAAATGCATGTATCATGGTCTGGTAGTTCATCATAGATGAGTTTGCTTTTGACTTCCGAAGATATCATCAACTAAATTTTGGGTTCGACTTCTTCAAGAATTATAGAATGATTCTAATGGGCTGAAGATAACCTTGAGATCCCGGTGAAAACGCCTCTGCTGTGACAGTAACTGACTCCATCAATTAACTGTTGGAAGAGCTTCCTGCCGTCAGCCTCCGCGAGTTTTCCTTTGGATGCCTGTAAAATAGCATTAGGAGGAATGGTAGATATGAGATTGAGTCCAAAGCACTAGAACTAGAAGCCCAATTAAAATTATCCATGGCAATAGCTCCTTACAATTCTGTCAAACAATTCACCACCATTCACGAATTCAAGGACCATGTAAATCTTTGTTTTGCTTGCTAGGACCTACACATTCATTGAAAAAGAAATGCACGATCAGACCAACATTAGCAGATATATTTACAATACATATAATTTCCTATGAACTGGAGTTTAAGATGACGATAATGATGATTGTCAAATACTTTGTTATGGGTCTCATTGCACCATGCAATGAGCCATATAGGCATGAACAAGTGTACGTGTTGTTGGTGTTGCTATATGTTAATGTTAGAGTTTGACTACATCATAATAAAGACTTTAACATGGTCCCAGTCTTAATTGGACCTAAAATTGGCCATTATTAACGTCAAATGAGTGTTCAACCATATCCAACAGTCATTCTACACAAAAGTTGATAAAGCAGCGCCACATGTGCAATCTTGAGATTGTTGGGCATTTGGGGCATTTCATTCATCAAGCTTACCTGGGCCCCACGGGCACATGCATCAGGTTAACTACTAAGTACAGCATTCCAATAATGATAATATAATCTTTTTATTTTTACAGAAAACGTAGCTTAGGTGGCTGGCCAATGAATGTTTCAGAAGTCAGAACTGATTCTGGTTAGGTTACTTGAAGCAAAGAATAAGGAGCACAACCGACTTACCCCCACCAAAAAAAAAAAAAAATGAAAAAGAAAAAGAGGACAACTTTAATTTGGGATTGTATACGTTATCATTGTTATTATCGGATCAGTACTGAATTTAATAGCGGAAGAGATCAACCATCAATCAAATCAAATCAAACAATAAAAAAATGTATTAAATCTCAAATATTGGGTCCTCAAAATGTAGACAAATAGTATCTTTTTGTGATGAGCCAGCCCTGGGTTCTTATTAAAGCAAAATGGATAAAAATAATGGTCGAAAAAAGTCGTTAATCAATGGAAAGGATCATGATGCTTAAGGCGTTGATTGCGCGCGGCCGAAGAAACAAGATACAAATACAATACATACCTCTTGTAATCTGACCACGTTTGGATGCTTGAGGAGCTTCAAGGTGCCAATCTCCCTCTTTATCTGCCAGCTCCAATTCAAAGTCCTAATTTTGTGAGCTATACATACTTTTTCGAGTTCAAAAATATGAAACAATCCTAAGCAATTTACTAGGGAAAATGGCAACGAAAGAGGAGTTTAACAAAGAAAATGGCAGATAGAAGGACGCTACCCGTGCCCAGTACTAAATCACCACCGCGACAGTTTTGTCTTAAAAAACCAAGACGCAACGCAAGAGACAAACAAAGTGGGTATGCCGTTTGTTAAATTTAAGGGTTAATTGCAAGTTGCATCCGGAAGATAGATCAAAAATCTTAATTTCCATATTTAAAGATCAAAATCTTAATTTATACTCTCAAATAAAAATTTGTATCAATGTGTACTTCGAAAGATAAAAAATCTCAATTTACATCCTTCTCCATTTAGATAAAAAGAAAACAACCCACAGAATGAAGCCTTAAAACTAATAGAACTGGACATCATGAGTTGCATTTCGCCTTTTTCAAGACTCAATTTTGTTATTGATGACAAAAACGTATATGAAACCTGAGCAGAAAGTTGATTTTCAAAGAAGCCAAAAACAAAACCCTCAAAAAGCCCAAACGAGAGGACGAAAATTGAAGAGAGGTTGGGGGGGAGGGGAGGCTACCTGATCGGTGATCTTGAGGTCGATGATTCGGTTCTTCTCCAGGATCTTAACAGCAAAGGGTTGGCCTGTTCCCAGGTTCTTGGCGTATTTGACCTTTCCGAAATTGCCTTCGCCCAGAGTCCTTCCGATCTCGTACTTCCCCAGTTGCATTCCCTTCTTTGCTATCTCCTCTTCCGCCTTCTTCCCACCTAGTACCAATAGGTCCAATACCATATCACAACCAAAAAACCACTTATATCTGATCTGATCTGATCACTCTATGTGCGTGCGGGAGCCGTGTAAATGTATATGTAAATGAATGTAAAACCCTCTCTCTCTCTCTCTCTCTCTCTCTCAAAACTGTCTGTCCTCTGGCAGTTTATGTATCAAAAATATCAATGGGTGAAAATTAAGAAGCGAATCGACTTGGTTGCTTTTTGGGTTCTATATGGGTTCAGAAGAAAAAACCAAAGGCCTTCATAAACCAATATATAGAGAGGAAGGAATAAGACTGACTTTATCTATTTCTTATTTATATATATAAAATAAAATAGATAGAGATGCCACATGAGCAATAATAGACACGGCAAGGCCTACCAATATGGTCTTTTCAACGATAATTATTACCTTCCCTCCCTTCCTCCTCTGCCTCGCTTCATAATTGTATTTGATTGTGGGGTTGCTCACACGGAACAGGACGACGAACAACATGCCTATTATTATTTGCACGGAATACGCAAGTTGACGTTGATAGATTAGAGGAATATCACGTGTACGTTTCCTGTTTCTTCTCTCCATTATTATTATTATTTTACTAGTATTAGGCCACAACCATTTCACTGGATTATTTTTATCTTACACGTGTTGATTGATTTAAAAACATCGGATGTTATGAAGTGTATCTCATTTCTTAATACTATAAGATTATGAGACTAAAAAAGTTAGCCGTCCGCCGTACCCTGATTGCACCGCCCCGCCAAAATGGAAGATAATAAATGATTTTGAAGAGCGTAGACTCCCAGCTCACCCCAGTATGTATGTATGGGCCGACAATTGAAACGGCAAATAATTACCTTGCGACGGTAAACAAATTTTATTATTATTATTATTATTAATTACTAATTTATACATACATACAATACAACCAACAATAACAATCAAGGTCGGAGGAGATGGATAGGAGATAGACTACAATTTGGACCGCCCACCCCACAACCATATCATGAACAATAAATAAATTATATCTATCAGCTAATTTACACGAACGAGGCATGCACCTGCACATATAATAATAAGATACTTGGACCAAGATCTTACACGCAGCAATGAATGTGAGTTGATCAACATCTTGCATGAACGCCAATTGTAAGCATGGTTCACATCTTCATTAGGAAAATCACTTTTGATAACACTTATTCGTAGATTCTTCAAGTTATGAGAAAAATCAAAATCAAAAATCAAAAGACAAGCACATGCATCATCCACCTATTATTTTATAATTGTATACCTGAAATTCAATTATTTTTATACGATTAAAAAATAATAAGATAAAAGATAGAATATATTTCATTCAAGTTTGTCTATTATTTAAGCTTATCTAAGTTATTTTGAATATTGTTGGATCTTTATAGTGTTATCTTCTTTCTAGTGAGCCTATTAATAATATACATATATATACTAAGAGATTACCTTCCGGGCCACATATTCAAGCTTACTACATCGTTAGGCTCCACAAACTATACCTAGCTAGTCATTGGAAAACGAACAAATTAAACTCTTTAATCTTACATGTTAACACCACGCTCTCGAAGCTATAAGTGTGGGACACAATGCCTATCTCGAGGACAAAATATTCAATACAACAGTAATTAAAGTGAACCCGTTATTTTCATAACTATCGGTAAATACCATATCTAATTATTAACACATAAAATTAGTAAGGTTTACTTTAATCACTTGTAATGCTCTAATTAAATAGTGATACCACATAGCGGTGATGACGTAGTATCACCCATTACATTGAATATTTTCTCTATATGGGAGGGGGGGGGCCTGAGGTGAGATGGTGTAGTTGTAAAATCCAAAATAAGAGGTTGAAAAATATAGCCTCAATTATTATGATTGATTGCCAAACGTTACAATAACACTCAATTGAAGAATGTCATGAAAAAGCATAACAAAAATTTTGTAGCATCCGCTACACACAAATGCTGGGTTAGGCCAAAGTTAGTGAACCACCCTCATGTCGGCTAAAATTAATCTGCTAAATTATGTGAAAGAAGTAATGTAAAAATAGTAATCTTAAAAAAAGTAATCTGCAAAGCTATATAAAATTTTTAAGATGGTCTATGTCTAATATGACAAAATAGTAGTGAAAAGGGGACTGACAAAAACGATTTTAGTATTTACATGACTCCAATAGTTCTTTAACCAAACAAGTATTTGTAGACTTAAATATTAACGCAAAAAAAAAAAAAAAAACTAATTTTGTTTATAGAATTTCTTGCCTGTGGTCAAAATGAAAAAGAGAGCATGAAGAAAAGAAGACGTTGAAATTTACTAATATTGCGAAAATGTTGTTAGAAGGAGCAAAATAGGAATGCAGCTTTAGCATGGGCAAAGAGACATTAATAATCCAACCATTAGTATTAGTATTACTATTACTTTTACTATATATAATAAAATATTAATACTATTAGGACATAATTTACAAATATAATGAATTGTCATCAATAAAATGATAATAAAATATATTTAATGATGTGTCTTATTATAATATTAATGAATTTATTATTATATCATTAATAAAAATTTATTATGTATTCAAATTATATTTTTTAATTATATCCCCGTATCATTGCTCATACTAAAAAGATTCAATTAAAAAATTGCATGTCATCTTTGGTTGCCAGTTGTATGCGTACCAGAATAAGAGGGCGTACGAGGATGTGAGTTGAAAAGTTGATTTGGATAAATATCTATCGTTTATAGTTTTTATACGGGAATTAAAGAAGTTATTAAATAACTCTAATATGAATAAAAAATAATTACATATAATTAAAATATTCTTATTCAATACGTATTGGGAAGGAAAGAAATATGAAAGACACTTAACTTACACTTAATCTATTAAGCACTTATTGAAAAATAGAGATAAGTATAAATTTGAAAAAAAAATATTTATTATGTTTTGATTTTATAAAACGACAGATATTATGGAACAAAAAAAAATGTGTAAAACGACAGATATTTAGAAACGGAGGGAATGTTAAATAAAGTTGAATCATACGTCTGAAAAAAAAAAAAAAAAAAGAGTAAAAGACGAAGGAGAAAAAAAAAAACCACGTCTCACCTCACGCGCATGAAAATCAAAGAAATCACGGTTTGTTGCATGTGAGGCACGAGTTAGACAAGGTCAGCCAATGCTTTAAATCCTTGACTTTAGGTATCACAAAGACCAACCGATCTTCCAATAATAAAATCATTCATCACAATTTCTCCTTTTTAATTCCACCACGTCTCACCATGACACTATGTGAAGGATGGAACAAAGAAGAGTAAAAAAAGAGTGATTCTTGTGTAAGGAAAAAGTTTCGTACCACTTTATAATGAATAAAATAATAATTGTTTTGACAATTGAATAATTGGTCAAGCAAATTGGGTGCACCTACCCCTGTAAAATGAACACTCGGTCACAAATTAGGGTTTGATTGATTGGATATATTTCAATAATCAAGTCAATAAAAACTCTATAGTTAAGTAATTAAATAACACGAGAAAAAAATATACTTTTGACTTAAGTTTATCTAATATTTATAAAAATTCATATCAATTCTTTAATGTTTAGAGTCCTGGTTCGAATAGAGTGACCAGGGCGGCCCAACCTAGTTTAAGGCCATAGGCAAAAATGTTATATGAGGTTTTATAAGTATTTATTCAGTAATAATAGTAATATTAAGTATTTATTAAACTATGTTTATTTACAAATTATTTGTTTTTCCTTTTGAGATATAACATATAAATTCAAATTTTACATTTTTTTTAATCGAAGTCAAATACGGAGATAAAATATAATGATACATAGTATTTGTTTAAGATAAAAGAGAAATATAATTGAAAATTACCTAGACAAGTAAAATAATTTTTTTTTCTAAACGTTTACAAAAATATGAATTTATACAAGTTGAATAGTACTAAAATAAATGAGACATTCATAATATAAAAAAAGACAGACTTCAATAAGTCTATTCGACGATCTCATAGATTTATCCAACGGCTACCAACATCTCTCTCAAAATTATTCATATTGAATTTTTCCTCTAAATCCATCACTTCTCACTTACGTTGTACCGTATCTTTAAACGCGAGTTTTTCCTAATTGTTAGATATCATAGAGAAAAAGAACTATTTTTAAATAAAAAAAGATAGCTAGTTCGCCACTTTTACTCAGTTTATTTTATAGTCATCTTATGCATTGTAAACAAAATTATTAAAAAAATGACATCCAATTTAATTTAGACAAATGTAAAATTATTATCCGTACCTATTATACGATAGAGAATTAATTTTAATAATAAGACTGCAAAGTGATAATATATATAATATAAATATCAGGTGAGATAAAAAAATAAGTTGAACTTTATGTCATAAATTTTTTTGAAAGAGATTCTAAAATTTTTACAATAATTACTAGTTGCATTTAATTTGAGAACTAATAAGTACATTAGATACATAGTGAATTTTATTTAAAGTTAGCACTCACTATTAATTCAATAATTAAATATATTAAGTTTTTAAATTATATTCTAAAATTCTAATTATATTCCCGCTTGTCTTCACAAATGTTCTTCCTCTTCTCGCCACCTCATCCAACTTTGGTGATATCTTTGGCGTTCATGTACTTTTGTGTCCTTAACAGTAGCTTGGACATGTTGGATGATAGCTTCTTTAGGACAAAGAATATGAAACTAAAGGAGCATAAACCCGTAATAAAGGGAGCCATAGTCACCTTGTCGTCTGTCTCCTCGATCTGGAGTTCCTCCTCGTTAAAATAAGTGAGGTAACTCCTTAAACTTTCATCTCGATCCTTCTTAATGGTGAGTAGGTGGATGATCGGCTTTTGGTGGGGACGTCCCCCTATGAAGTGAGATGAAAGATTTGCTTAACTCAGCAAAAGTGTGGATGGAAGAAGGCTTGAGTTTGACGAACCATTTCGTGTAGATCCTTTAAGGGTG